GGGTAATTTTGGAAAAAAAAAATATTTATAAAGTCATAAAAAACTGTCCCCCACCGTCTAATATCTAGTTCTATTATGTAGAATGACCAGAAATCGGAATTTTGGAGCGATTTTGGTCTGGAGCCCCGATTCTGGACAGTTACCTTCTTAATTTAGATAAGGATTGTTACTTTAATATTGTTTTAATTAATTAATTAAAATCATCCGAATATTACGTACAATGGTTTTAATGTTTTTTTTTCTTCTCTTCCAGTACCTTACAAAGCAAACAACCGCGTTGCGAGAAGTCAACGACTCGCGACTTCGAATTTATGAGCAACTTGAGGTCAGTATTCAAGATCTCGAACGCGCCAACCATCGTCTTGCTCTCGAAAATGCTTCGGATAAAAAGCAAATTAAATCGTTAACATCCACCATCGAATCTTTAGAGGCCCGTTGTGAAGAACTGCAAGTCAACGTGGACGAACTTAAAGCACAATTGGATACTTACAGACTGAAGACGCAGCGAACCGGCGTCTCTAATAATGCGGAAAAGGGAGAAAAAGCGAGACCGACTTGCATTAGGTTAGGAGGAGACTTCGGAGATGACCTGAGCGGTAGTCAAGGGCCGGTTAGTCCGGATTCATCGTCCGCTGTACATACGGAAAAGGTAAGTTTTTCGTTCAACCGAAAATCATTAACCAATCGCATTGACTAAATGCTTTTTCTTTTGTGAAAAAAGTAAAATAATCAATAAGTAATCAGGTGGAAGATTTCTTCTTAACTTTTTGAAACATTTAGTCGACTTTTGACGCATTAAATTTTAACAGAAGAGGGAAATTGCGCCCATAACATGCAACGGAAGTTCAGATCGACACATTTTTCTTGACATTACGGTTCTGGACCTTGAACTGAAGTCGAAACCCTTACAGAATTATGTTCTAGTTTGTCTGATGATCATTGAACCTAATTTTCTAATTCTATGTTGAATTACTACTATTATATTGTCAAGCATGCAAAAAATGGTTCAAATTTTATAGATAATTATGAAGTCATGAAGTTTTACGGTATGATAACGGTATGTAATACTCTCGGTAATCGTACCCGTGTTTGTACCATCGCCGAAATAAGGGGTTGGGGCGGAGGGGGTCGTCCGCCTGGGTTCTAGTCGATTTTTGCCTATTTCAAAAAATGGATCAAAGAATCTGTATCAAATTTTGTGTGAAAAACAAAATTAAATGTGCGGGCGCATATGGTGAAGCTACCTTGGACCGAAGCAACGTTTATCGGTGGTAGAAAATATTCTCAGAGGGCCGAGAAGATATGAACGACGAAGTTCGTGCCGGACTCCCGAGCACGTCCACAACAGACGAAAACATTGATGAAGTGAAGAAAATAGTATTGGTCAATCGTCGATTCACCGTTAGATAAGTTGCTGATGACCTAAACATATCGATGGGCTCCTACCATTCGATTTTTACCATTGATTTGGGAATGAGACAGGTTGCCGTGTAATTCGTACCAATTTTGATCAAAAACAGCATCTCATATTAACATTGCTAAGGAGGTGTTGGACTCAGTCCACGACGACCTAAATTTGCTTCAAAAGGTCATAATTGGTGACGAATCACGGGTTTATGGTTATAACGTGGAAACCAAAGCTGAAATTCCCAATGGAAGCTGCCACACAAGCCAAGACCAAAACAAAACGCACCAAGTTAGGTCGAATGTGAAGTTTTTTCTTACAGTTTTCTTCGACTACAGGGGCGTGGTGCATTATGAATTCTTACCACAGGGTAGAACGGTCAAATAAGGAATATTACCTGCAAGTGTAATGATTTTTTGAAGTACTTTGGCATAAGTGTATAATATCCGGTGGGGATTACTTTGAAGGGGACAAAATAGATATTCATGAATAAATAAATAGTTTTTGAAAAAACACAAAATTCGCATACCTCGTATACTACAAATATCTACAGGAATTTCTGAGACCAAGGGCGTTATTTCGTTCCCAGCCTAACGTGTACGTAACATTTTGAACTTGCTACCCTGTTTTTCATCAGCCTAAAGGACTCAGTAGAAGAGGAATCCTAAGTTGTTTTCCTGTTGATTTTTTTTTACAAATCTATCTTACCATTCTACTGTTCTATTGAAATAATAAGTTCTCTTACAGTGGTTTAATTTTTCTAATTACTTTTAATTCCCAACCAACGAATAATATTCAAATTTTAAAATAAAACAATTTTATTTAGCGGTTTCAACTAGATAAATCACTGAAAACAGACAAGGTTTTCTCTTTCAACAGTGTTAAAATTTAATGCATGCACATTATATTTCTCAACCATATTTTATGTACTCTTTGAAAGCAAAATTAATGTCTTTTTCTAGAACTTATCTAGTAGTTTTTTAGATGCCTTTAATTTGAAAATTATGCTTTAATAGTTCACATAAAATCAAAGTTCACAACTTACGCAAGTTTAAACCAGGAACGTGTTTAAAGAAAACTAAACATGTCTGGTTATCCAAACATGTTAGGTGTATTTTTAACACAAGTTTAGTATAAATTTCACAGAAAACAGTTCGTTTCGTCATTGGTGTACTTTGAAAAAGACATTTGTTTAACAAATGCTGGTCTGGTCAACCTTGAGAATAATATGGAGATAATTACTATAATAATTACTCTTATTAATTATTATATCTGTAGTTACCAGTGCTTACTGTTAGCACTTTAGGATAATTACACGTATTTGCTCATACTCAGTAACAACAATATTTATTCTCTCGTTCTTTTCAGTTTCTTAGCGTTTTCATTTAAATTATTGTTAATTTAGAATTAGTATGAAAAACGTATCTCCTTATCATTTACATATATTCGTTTGAGAAAGTCTATTAATGACTGATTGTAGTGCATGCTTTTGAACTAGGAATCAGTAATTGTTTTTTCTATTCTCAATGTAGATTTTGAATCATCTTCTTTACCTGTTGACAAATTTAATCCTCTTCATGTGAAATTAACTTAATTCAGGATTATTAAAAATGTATATATGAATCGCGATTCTGTACGCGTGCAGAAGGTGGACAACGTGCGTGGCGGAAAAGAAAACGTTATGCAAGCGTTTGAGGGAGAAAACTCAAAATACCGTAGATAAAAGGGTTAGAAATGGTATTAGAAATCGTTAGAAAACAAAGGCTGCTAAGCGGAAAAGGAGAGAAATATAAGTTGTTCCGGTTTTCGAGAATTGCAAGGAATGGAGGGGCGTGTCCAACCACTTTTGGGAGCTGAAAAAGCATTGATAATGTAGTTGTCACAAGAGGAAACTTGACCTACCGAGGATAGAAAAGATTAGAAATGAAAAGTTGGAAAACAAAGGCATAGGAAGTCAATATGGAAAAGGATGTGAGATGGGGGGGTTCGACGTCTGCTGAGATATGATGTTAGAGGCGTATCTATTAGCAGCAGAAACTGGAGTTAACAGAGGCAGAGGTAGACAGGAAAAGTTAAAAATATAAGTTATTCCAGTTCTAGAGAACTGCGAAGATTAGAGGTGCGTGTCCAAACCAGCCTTCGGGTTGGAGAAATGTTTGAAATGTGGTGTCACAAGAGAAAACTCAAAATACCGTGGATAGAAAGGGTTAGAAATGAAATGGTACATATCAGAAAGGGTAAAGAGTGCAAAGGAAGCTAATATGGAAAAGGATTTGAGAATAGTGAGGGAGTGGGACGTCTTCTGAGACATGATGTTAGAAACGTGTCTATTAGCAGCAGAAACTGGAATTAACAAGAGCAGGGGTAGACGCAAAAAGTCAGAAATACAAGTTGTTCCAGTTTTAGAGAATTGCAAGGATTGGACGTGCGTGTCCAAACCAGTCTTCGGGCTGAAGAAGATGTGATGTCACAGAAGGAAACTCAAAATTCCGTAGATAGGAAAGGTTATAAATGAAATGGGATTAGTAACAGTTACAGAACAAAGACTGTTAAGAATGTCAATATGGAAATGAAGTCGAATCTGGAATTAACAAAGGCATAGATAGACCCGGACAGTTAGAAATATACGAGGGTGGATTGATAAGTTTCCGGCCTGACCAAGAAAAACAAGGTTTTTAAAATTTTTTTTTTTTAATTTCTCAACATAATCTCCTCCAAGGCTGATACATTTCTCATAGCGGTGTTCCAGTCTATTAATGCCATCTCTATAGACTGATTCGTCAAGCTCCTCAAAATAACCATTTACAGCTTCGATTACTTCTTCATTGTCCGCAAATCTCTTACCGCCAAGCCATTTTTTGAGATTAGGGAACAGAAAATAGTCACTCGGGGCTAGGTCTGGAGAGTAAGGAGGGTGCGGCATCAATTCAAACTTTAGATCGTTGATTTTAGCCGTCGCAACGATTGACGTGTGCGCTGGTGCGTTATCGTGATGAAACAAGATTTTTTTCTTCGCCAGATGAGGTCGTTTAATTTTCACCTCGTGGCTCAAACGTTGCAATAAGTCTGCGTAGTATTGACCAGTGATAGTATTACCCTTTGCAAGGTAATCAATGTATATAATACCTCTTGCATCCCAAAAAACAGTAGCCATAACCTTGTTCGCCGAAAAAATTGTTTTTGCCTTCTTTGGAGTTGGTTCCCCTGGTCCAATCCACTGTTTAGACTGTTCTTTGGTTTCAGGAGTGTAGTGGTGGACCCACGTTTCGTCAACGGTTACGAATCGACGCAAAAATTCGCTTGGATTACGCTTATACAATGACAAATTTGCGGTAGAAATGTTTTTTCGAATCAATTTTTGGTCGACTGTTAGCAAACGCGGCACCCATCTTGCACAGAGCTTTTCCATATGCAAATGTTGGTGCAAAATATGTTGCACACGTTCATATGACATCTTACAGGTCTCAGCTATCTCACGCACTTTCAATCTGCGGTCTCCCAGCACTATTTGATGAATTTTTTCGATCATATCTGGAGTTGTGACCTCAACGGGGCGTCCTGAGCGAGGCCCATCAGAGGTGCTCACACGACCCTTTTTAAACTCGGAAACCCACTGCTTAACGGTTGAATATGACGGGGAGGATGTCCCCAGTGTTGAGTCCATCTCTTTTTTAATTTCCTTCGGCGTTAACCCCTTCAAATAAAAGTATTTGATGACAGCACGATTTTCCTGCTTTTCCATTTTTACGAAAACCACAGAGGCGTCTTGTTCAGCGTGCTGTCAAACCTACACTAGCAAGGAGATCGGGCTGAAACTATAGCTACAAGCTATCCAAGGATGGTACTATAGAATGTCACCTCAAGGTAGGCCTAGTGGCGTCATCTCTTGGTTAGGCCGGAAACTTATCAATCCACCCTCGTAAGTAACTCTAGTTTTTAAGAATTGCGAAGATTGGAGGTACGTGTCCAACCAGTCTTGGCGTTAAGGGAGCGTTTGAAATATGGTGTTACATAAAAATAATGAAAATAGGGTTAAAAAAGAGAAGCCGGCCGTTTCAAAAAGTAGGAGAACCGAGGACACTATAGAAGTGAATAACGGTCATATCAGGATCAGAAATAGAAATAAGGAAGAACAATGGGAGGCTTAATTAGACTGCTGTTCAGAAATAGTTAAATACATATATGGAATGTTCTAATTTTTGGGAAATACGAACATTGACTTAGGATAAAGCAATTTGTTTTAGGTAAATTGGAATATCAAAAATTAGGCAAAAACAAATAGCTCAAAAAACTTTCCTTAAAGTCTTACTTTTCTTAATTGCTTAAGTAGTCCTATTGATTCTTAATTACATTACTAAAAATCGAAAAATTGGTATTTTACACAATTCTTTTTAATGTCGTTGTTGGATTTAAATCCTAAAATTTTGAATACGTTTGAGTCATTTAGAGTGAAATCCTGACCTGGTTAATGAAAAGTTTATTACCACACAAAGTACCTGTAGAGGATGCCAATTTTTACGTAAACCATTTAAGGTGTTTATGAGCCAATGTGTGATTTTATGTTTAAAGTAATAGTGTTCGAACCTGCGCGACGGTATTAATTTGCCTATAATCGAGGACGTTTTTTGCCACGTCAATTTGGGACGTGAGTATGAAATACAAACTGTTCTCATGTTCTCATAGACGAAAGTATTAGCACGTTGAGCAATAGTGTAAGTAATTTAATGGTAGTAATTCCGCCAATAAAAATTATAGAGGTCGTGATTTTTGCTTTTCGTGTGTGTCATTACCCGGCCTTAAAATTGTCATGATGAAATACAGCAAATTGCAATTAAAGTCGTCAAAATTAGTTGGTGTAGGTAATGGATTAGGTTGAACTTGGTGACCAATTGCATACAATTATTGCTGTTTTGTTTGATTGTTTCGCAATTTATTTATAGGTACGTTCACATTGTATGTAGTTATTAATCTATTAACCTACTAATTAATAGCGCGATTAACTACCATAAAATCAGTCAAGTTTTAATAATACAAAAGTTGGTAAAGGTGTATGTTTGGCCAAGTATCCGGCTCGAAGGACCAAAAATGTCGCCTAGATGTGACGACTTATATGAATGCACTTTTTGATGCTACGGAAAGTCTCGATAAAGAAATTAGTCGATATGTGTAAGGATATAAGAGACATTAGATGCAGAGACGCGAGTTGGGGGGAGGGTAGAGGGTAGAAGTAGACCTAGATTAGATTACTGTTCGCAAATAGTTAAGGATGTGGGATGTTCTAGTTTTAGGAAAATGCGAAGATTGACTCAGTCTTAGGGCTGACTACTTTATGATGATGGTGATGATGATGTATTGATTTTAACTAATTTCCTAGTTTGCCTATTTGGCCAATTTGTTTTTTTTAATTTAGATAGATAATGTATATAATTTTATTTAATCAACCTCTTGGTTTAAATGTAAAATCTTGATCTTTCAAGAAGTTTTGTTACATTGTTTTCCTTTGTTTCAGTACACCGAACATCTTGACGCCTCTTCAAGTCCGAATCCATCAAGATCTTTATCCGCCTCCCAAAACGCGACTCAAACAACGCCGAGCATTAGTGGCAACGAAACATCTGCTTTCGAAGACAATCGACGTCAAATCGACGAGCTGTTGATCCAACTCGATGAATCTCAAAAAGTGTTATCTTACGAAAAGCGACGGGTCACCGAATTGGAAGAACAACTGGCTACGATGGTACAAAGGAATCAGGAATTGGAAAAGAATCTCGTCCAGCTGCAACAGAAGGACGAAGAAGCGAAGAGTATGCACGATGAGCTAAATACTCTTGAAGAAGTTAGGTGAGTTGAAGATACTTGTATCTTAATTATTTGTTTAAGACTGATGCTGTAATATTTTTTTAATGTTTTGACGACGTATTGAATAGTTCTTTCGATTAACGTAATTTTAAAGTTGTCATGAAAAGGTATACCAGCGCGTCGTTTTCAAGAATTATTAATTATTATATTTTGCAATCTTCAAGATTTTTCTGGTGAAATTCGTTCGCTGACCCTCAATCTTCAAAATAGTTCAACTTCAGTTAATTGCTAATAATTATGGATTACCCTTTGCGATTTACGTAATTTCAGAGTTGTCATGAATATGTATAGGTACTAGCGCGTCGTTTAAAAAATTATTAATTATTATTACTTGGAATCTTCAAAATTCCTCTGGTAAATTTCATTCCCTCACTGTTAATTTTCACAAAAAGAACTTCAGTTAATGGACAATAGAGTGAAAATGTACACTAGCACATCGTTTTTAAGGATTATTGATTATTATCTTTTGTGGTAGATTTCGTTTACTGACTCTTAATCTTCACCAAAAGAACTTCAGCTAACGGTTAATAATTATGGAGTATCATTTGCGATTTACGTAATTTTAAAGACTAGCGCATTGTTTTGGAGAATTATTATTCCTTATCATCTTTAGGATGCCTCTGGGGAATCCCTAGTCTCCACCAAGGGACTCCAATGTTATACAATAGTTCCCTAAACGACTTACAGAATACTGTTTGATGTTCAGTCAAAGTTGTCACGAAAATTTACATTCAGGTTTTTAGACTAGTGGATTGTCTTAAAGAATTACTATCTTTCAACATATCAGGATATCTCTAGTGATGCTCCTTCACTAAATATTAATCTTCACCAAATGAACTTCAAAAGATAATTAAATAATTCTTGAAAACATTAACGACTCATACATACATGCGTTTTGATTTAACGCATTTTAGAGTGGCAGGTCGGTGGTAGATAAGGTTTTATTTTATTTCAGACAAGGACAGCTGTGCAGTCGTTGTTTAAGAATGATCGATTCGTCCAGGGCGACTGATAATCTTTCATTTCTCGACGATGAACTGGAAGATGACGATTCGAGTATGATGGAAGCACTTCTAAGCCAGTCCCAAAATCGTTCCTACACCATGGACTTACAGGTGAGCCATGAAATTGTACGCTGTCTTGGCTTCTTCAGTCTAACACAATGCTACTTTTGATATGTACCGTATATGTCAAATATGCTGACAAACATACAGTACATACCAAAATATTTTTTTTAATGTAAGTGTGCCTTATTGAAACGTTTTGTTTGTTAGTTTTTTTGTGTTGTTGCTGCTTGGGGGTTACATTTTATGGTATGGCGTGTTCTTTTAAAACATTTGGAAATATTTATTAGAACAAAATCGTTTGAAGGAAATGTGCTACAATGAAATTAAAATTAGAAATTTAGAGAACAAAAAAAAAAGTAATAAGGTACTGAAACTCAAATTAATTTAATAAATAAAAAAATATATACTTTCGGGATGTGGTTTTGAAAAACAAAACGGTTTTGAAATATTAACAATGCGTTTTAAGGAAACACTCTGTATATTGTTTACACAGATTGATAAGTTTGAGTAGTTATTTTCTTGGTATTATTTTTTGCAACCATTAGTAAAACAGTAGATTATTTTATTTGGACTTTAGGAACAAAAAAAACCATTTACAGCTT